CAGTTCCCCCACCCCAGCAGTTTGGGAGTGAGGTGCAGGGCCTCCGCTGTGCTGGCAGACAGACCTCGGCGAGTCCCTGGCGTGCGGCAGGGGCTGGCGTGGGAGCACTCCCTAAAAGCCTGAGGAACCTGTTGGTGTTGCAAACGTCTGCCTCTGTGCCCATATGTCTGCTGATTTCCATGCTAAAGACATTTACTGTATATGTTTGCCACCAGGGAAAACTGCTGTCTACGACTCAGCTATATTACTGGAAGAGCAGCAGCGGTATTTGTGCTATTTTGAATATTGCATTTCCAGGACCTGCTCTGTGGCTTTCAAAATCCTCCTTCCAGCTCCCCACGTCCCCCCCGGCCAAGCAGCGGAAACACCTGGTTGGGGTGATGGCCCCCTCCGCCGCGTGGCAACATCACACCGAGAGACCGGCGCAAAACGGTGTGAGCCATCCCGCCTCGGCAGCGGGAAGCACGGTTCGCAAGCCAGCGACAGAGGGATGAAATGCAAATATAGCATTTCTTGTGAAGTAAATTAAGCTAACAACGAGGTAACAAACCGCCGTTAATATTAGATTAACTTGTTTGGCAAGATATGAAATTGGGTGAGCTGGATTGTCGATAGCGGAGTGCTCCACAGCGCTAATGCTGCTCAGGGAAGTATAACATCCCTCTGAAAGACAGGGGCACGTTAAGACAAGCTCCTAGCTGTGAGCGGAAAGCCCACCACAAAAAAAAAAAAAAAAAAAAGACTGGAGGAAGAGCCAGAATCTGTGCAGCAATTACACCAGCATTAAAGATGAATGGAGAAGCAGCTTGAGATTTTGATTGCCTTTAAATACTGGCTTGTTTTTAATCTCAAAATCAGACTTTGCTGTGATCAGCCATTAGCCCCAACTACAAAAAAAAGAAAATATCCTAGATTTTAACATTTGTAGTATGAACTTAAAATGCCACTTTGATCTAAGATACGAAGGCAAATGGCAGCTAATTCGGAAGTTAAAGCCACTTGCATGCGGTTGGCAGCTGGCAGTGGCTGGGCCGACTTTGGGAACAACGGGGAGTTGGGCAGAGGGGTCACCAGCAGCCGTGTCCTCAATGCGGGGACTGAGGCACAAGCTTAAATGTCACAGTATATGCCAGTGGTCACTAAACTGATTAAGTAGTGGTTATCTTTAGCAGTAAAAAGGCTATCTGCTAATACTAAATGATTAGAGTCTAAAATGCCATTTACTCTGCTCTGATTCCTTGAATGAATATTTATGCCAAGTGATGACTATAACATCATCAAAAGGTTTCCGTGCTCTGCTCCGTAGAGTGGAAGTGATTATTCAACAGCAGGTCTGCACTCAAGCACTTGTTTCTATTAAGCAAATTTGCAGCGTTCAGACAAAAATTCATGATTGCATTGTCCTCTGGGGATTTTTATTTTTAAAGAAATCCCACTTCCAACGCTCTCCAGGGCATGGGCTGTGGTAGGTGGGCCTTGTCCGCCACACAGACACAGAAAAGAGGGATACAGATGCTGCATAATTTCTCCCTTGTATTCTTTTTTTAAATATAAGACAACTGGACCTTTGCCGTACCCCATTCAACAGCAAGAAGCCGTGTCCTGTTCCCGGGCTTTCCTCCCACGGACCCAGCTGCCAGCTGGGGCGTTTGCATGAAACAGTGTCGTGAAATTCCTCGTTAGGCGTCAGGAATCGGACCTACAGCCACGGTGACAAATCAGGAGGGCTGCCCATCGGAAATGAAGCCCCTGCACCCCGGTGGGGCAGCACCGCCTGTGCTTCAGAACAAGGGCAAGTGCAGGGAGGCAACGAGATGCCGTCGCATGTGAGTCACGGCCTGGGCTGTAAGTAACCCCCCCGCCTTCCCCCGACAGAAGGGTGTTTTGGCGAGGTGCGAGCCTGTCTGTGCTGCTGTAGCGGGAGTGGGCTCCAGACTGGCCCACGTCAGGGACCACTGAGCAAACCAGAGATGTTGGCATCCAAGCAATACGCTGCTGGACCCTGTATTTAGTGTGCGCGACTGGAAGGGAAGTCGTTGCTTCGCGGTGAGGGCCGGTACTGGCTGAGCCTCCCGCCGTGTTCCAGCTGGGGCGTGCAGGGCTCGGTTCCCACCTTGCCTGGGGGGCAGGGATGCTCTTCATGGGGGTTCGGTCTCTCATAATACACCACCCTGACGTTTACCTCCCCAGGAGGAGACCCATGTTGTTTTGGTAACATCCCCTCTGCACGCTCCCAGCTAATGTTGCTAACTGTGTTTCATCCTTGGCTCCAGGCTTCCTCTACACCACATCGCCGTGCTGTCAGTGCCATATAGACGGCAGCCGCCGAGACTAGACCTTACCATAGCTGTTCCAACTTACTGGTTATTTTGTCCCATTTACCAGTCCATCACCCATTTTTTTCTCCGAGTTCATGGGCTATCCTCTGCTCCATCATTCTGCTGGGTTTGTCAACTCAGCCTGTTGCATTGCCACGTATCAGACAACCCTCACCAAACCACCCCTGTCCCCAGACACATCCAAACAGGCCCAGCTCAGATATGCCTCCCCTGCAGAACCACCATGGGGACTCAAATAGGCAGCAGGGCATGGCTCACACCAACCAAGTGCCATTTTTATTCATCCAACGGTAGAGTGCGATTTCCCACACAAGCGACCCTCTCCTCCAGCAGGCTCCTGCCTCTGGGGTGACATTTCTATGGCTTTCCCAACGATGTATGAGAGATCTGGCAGCTGCAGAGCCATTAGATGCCATTAGCCAAGCAGCTCTGAAGAGTTACACTTTCTTCCTCCCTTCCTTCTGAAGTAAGGAGACCACCTAAGCCAAGAAAAACATGCTTTCTAGAAGGTTTAAGTACCATTTTCCAAAGGACTTAATTTTTAAACTGGTACCAAAACTCCCCTTAAGAATCTGAACTAAATCTGAGTAACTCCCTTAGCTTGTTTGGTGAGTGGTTTTGGTTTTCACAGAATCGGTTTGGTTGGAAGAGAACTCTGGGATCATCGAGTCCAACCTTTGCCCTAACACCCCCATGTCAACTAGACCATGGCACTAAGTGCCACATCCAGTCTTTTCTTAAACACCTCCAGGGATGTGGACTCCACCACCTCCCTGGGCAGCCCATTCCAATGCTCAACGACCCTTTCTGTGAAGAAATGCGTCCTCATTTCTAGCCTGAACTTCCCCTGGCAACGTTTCAGACCATGCCCTCTTGTCCTGTCACGAGTTGCCTGGGAGAAGAGACCAACCCCCACCTCACTACAACCTTCTTTCAGGTAGTTCTAGAGGGCAATCAGGTCTCCCTTCAACCTCCTCTTCTCCAGACCAAACACCCCCAGCTCCCTCTGCCTCTCCCCATCAGACTTGTGCTCCAGACCCTTCACCACCTTCGTTGCCCTTCTCTGGACTTGGTTTTGTTTTGGTTCCACTGCTCCCATCCTCACGATGGGAGAACACATGCGCTGCCATTGTGTGATGAATTACAGCAAACCCCAGGGGCAGGCGGGTAGCCATCACTCTGGAGCAGAGGCAGAGGCAGCGGCAGCGACCGCCTGGCAGCCCCTTTCAAAGCAAGGAATCGGAATGTTTGGGCAACAAATGCTCCTGCAGTAGCCCCAGTGCAGCTGCCTGCAATAGCCTCTACAAAAAGAGCATCAACTCTACAGTTTCTCAAAAGACAACCCAACCTCAAAAGGCACCAAAATGGAACAGCAATTAAAACACCACCTATCCATAGGTGGCTACAGGTGACTTTTTAATTGCTATTCCATTTTTGTGGGAATAAAAGGGGATGGGGCCACACATTTTATAATGGGTCTCCCAACCCAAAACACCTGTTTTTGAAGAAAAATCACTCAATCAATCCACATGTCTGAGGTAGCTTCAGATGACAGGCAATATTTTGAAGCATATTAACTGTCTAGTGGTGTTTTGCTTCTGTTTAGCTGTTATTCAACACAGATGTACATAAAAGCATTTCATGCAACAGGCAGAGCAGCACCAAGCTGCACTGCATTCAGTGTTTGCAATTCAGAGAACACACACATCACCCAGGACCAGTAACTGATTAAGTGACATCAGAAAAAAATTACTCAGTGTCCATGTAGAGGAAAGGTGGTTAAAACTAAGAAAAAGCAAGAATACAAAACAGAATTGCAGCCATCCTTTACAGCTACCAGTGCACTGTACGAAAGTGACACTCACCATACAAAGAAGTGTGTTTGGTACAGTCCAGTGGGTTGCACATGAATTTCATAACCTTGAAAATCATTGCACAAAGCATCGCAGCAGGAACACAGTTCAGAGCTTTTCTACAGGAGATGCTTCAAATCCGATCACTTTCGTTACGTGGGAGATCAGAGCACCTAGCACAGAGTAAGCAAAAAGGGCTGCATAAAGGGATGCTGGGTCAGCGCCCGGTTGCGTTCGAACCCTGGCATCAGCTCTCGCAGCAGCTCAGACCTGGACAAGTGATGCCCCACAGCAAAACCCCTCCGCCTGTCAAATCCGTGGAATTAACATTCTGATCAATGCCTGAGCACCTGCCGGCAGGGCTAGAGGGAACCTGTTCCTTGCAGCCTAGACTGGAGACACGGTATCCACCGGGCAACCAGTGCTCCTGGCCCTGGAAATGCTCTGTCTAAATTCATAGAGGTGAAAAGCGAGATGCCTCTCGGCCAGCGCCGCAGCACTGCGCAGCAGCTGTGGTGGGTCCTGGCCAGCCACGCCGAGGGTTCCCAGCCATCGCCCGCCCACAGCTCATGCCCTCCCGTCGTACGGCACAGCAGGTTTTTGGACACAAGTCTCCGCACGGTTCAAGCAGAGAGGTCTAACTCTGCCGCAGCATTTCTTCCCCCACTTTGGGTATGTGAACTCCTGCCCCTGCTTCTATTCATGCAGTTTCCAGGGATCTGTGTATATTTTTCTGATGGACTGCTCAACATCAAGCATGGGAAATACAGGCTTTCGCCACACGGGGAACAAACCACAGCTAAGATGACCAGGAAACATTCATAATTTTTAATTCACACCAGTAATAAAATTGCATTACATTTTTCATAAAATAAATGTTCCAGTTTATATACAGAAAACAGACTGTACAGAGCCCTCCCCCAGACCCCAAAAACTCACAAACATACAGGCAATGCAGTGCTCAGCTAAGCAGGCACAACTGTACATCTAAAATTGTAACTGCTTTGTGTTGGGGGGGAAAAGTACTACAATGTATATAGTCCTCTCTGGACCAAGAATTAAAAAAATATTGCAGGCAAGCTGACAGGCATCCTCGCTGCTCGCACGGCCGAGCGCCCATCCCACAGCGCTTCAGCGAAGCAGGGTTTGTTATTGAACCTGGGACTCGAAGCTCCCGTTCAGCTGCCCTTCCTCATAGTCCATCTGACACAAGATCATGTTGTTCTTCAGGAAAAATTTGTCTCCCACACAGAATCTGGAAGATAAAAAGAATGAACGGGTGTAAGAACAAACAGAGGTTAGAACAAGGAGGAATCTGAGGCCGTTTGGGTCTGAAGGTGACTCAGGGGACCCGAGTTTGATTTCCAGCTCTGCTGGTGGCATCAGACCCTGGGAAAGCCCACATGCTTCTCCCCCCTGCTCCCCTTCCCCACAGACGCCTTGGGGTTTTGCCATCCCTCTTCCCAGCGCGGCAGGGCTCCGCTCCCAGGCCGTGGCTGTAGGACGCAGCACCCCAGGGAGGGGGTCCCCGTCTGGGCTGGGTCCCATGCCAGCGGTGGGAGGAGGCCGGGAGCAGTTAAGGGATTTGTCCCTGCAGACGAGAGGTGTCGGCTCTACAACTGGGAAATCAAACGGGTGATATTACACAGAGACTATGTGAAGTTTGTGCTGGTATCCACATTTCCACGGTTCCCTCGGGTGAGGCAGTATTTACACTAATTTCCAGGCAAGGACTGGCTATTAAGTCCTTCCTCACCCCCTTGTGTACAGTGCTGAACAACAAATAGAAATTTCCTGGTGGCTGGACTCCTAACCTTTATCTTCATTGAGCGAAGGGCACTGTTCTCTATATACCATGTAAATTGTTCTGTTTGTCTTGAAGTTGACAGAGAGGCTTGTGATATTTAACAATTTTATTTGACCATTAAGGTCAAAAAAGTTCCACATATAAGGTCTGAGAGGTGTGAACCAGCAGCCAATAGCTTTTTCGCCCTGCCTGCTTGCTCAAGAATCAGAAGCTAATCTTTACTTCTTAAGATAACAAATAATGCTCTTTGCACTCAGTTCAGGAGGTGGTTTTTGTCCATCACACTAGCAGGGCAGTCACAGACCAGAGCACAGGGCTGCACCTCCCTGCCCCAAGTGCCAAGTCTTAAATCAACCCTGGCTCCCTAAAGCAGAGGCACCCCGGCCACTTCGCCGAAAGGCAGCTCTGAACCAAGAGAAATGGGCGGGTACCAGCCTCTGGCAAGGCCGAATATTTACTGGGCTTTGAAGGGAGATCAATGGAGATGACCCCATCCTCAGGAGACTTAGCAGATCTCAAATGTCTGTTTCCTCTCCTACCGGGCAGAGCTTTGGCAAGGACACTGCCTACTCCTTGTCTACAACACTTTCTAGATTTGTAACTCGGGCAGCTTTGGGCAGAGCATCTCCATAAAACTGAATGTTTTCTGCTACAAGAACAGGACTGATCATTTTAGAGCTCCTTTATAGGTCCAACATGGGCACAAGTTTTCTCCAACTGGACACCTGCAAATAAGCTGATTAATCTGCCAAGTTGGCAGAGAGAACTGGGCGTTGGTTTTCACTTTATATGATTTCACTGGAGACCTTCCATCTTCTTCCCTCTGTGGCACATGCTTCAGTAGTTCTGAAATTCAACCTTTTTTCCATATTAAAAAAACTAAAAGTTAATCTCAATTTAAATTAACAGCTTTTATACTAAAAACTGTACTGCACACACTCTCCTTAACACCACCCTCCCTACCAGTAGGTTTACTCACTATAAATAACAGGCACAGCTGCTTGCTTTTTGCTGCTTATTCCTACCTTATGTACAATATAAATCTCCAGGAAGAGAAATGCAAAAAATTACTCTTGCCACCAGCATCACCAACAGCTGTCTCTTGCCAAACCTGGTTTGGGCCTAGAGGAGCCAGAGCAGGAGTTGGAGAACTCGGGAGTTGTGTAGGAGTGTGTGTGTGTGTGTGTATGAGCACATGCGAACCAAAATGCACAGCAGGGGTACCCTGAGACCCTGCAAAGTTTTGGGGGAAGGGCTTGATTCACTGGAAGGGTGACTATTTCTTTCTACCTGCCAGTCCTGCAAACCCAGCAGTAAACTGGGCTCTCTACAGCTGATGCATTGCAACTAGAGACAAAGGATTGAACAGGGCAACTTCAGACCCAGTTTCCCAGCCCACAGCTCTCGGAAGAGCGAGACGTGGGACCGCACCGCCAGCCCCCATGCTCAGAGCAGGTCTGTCGCAGAGCCTGTCCAGCTGATCAAGCACCAGCCGGCAGCAGTGACAAACGGGCACTGAACCTACCCTGCCACTTCTACAGAATTATTCTCTTCCAAACAAAACCACATTTTAGATAATGGCAACACAAGCAGTTGGATTTCTGCAACCCTTGTAATACTGACCTATTAGCCAGTTACAGCAGTGACCAAATTTTATTCAGTATTGTGACAAGCAATGTCAACCTTGTAACAGTTTAAAGCACGGTAGGCTGACCAGTGCTGTAGGACTTGCTGCAAACCTGATGTTTTGGAGAAGCTAATGAAATGAAGCTAATGAAAACACCGCATACTAGGTAAAAATATTAGAGATTTTGCTCTGATGGATTTAACAGTCTACACAGAGTCCAGCTATAGAAGGGCAAGTAAGGGGGAAGAGAACTAGAGAAAGGCCTTCATAATCAAGTCTTTTCATAGCTGACGAATGAGGTGGAGTTTCAGATTCATTACTAGTTTTGGCATCAACCTCTGCAATTTTGATTTTAGAGTTACTTAAACTCACTGTTCTCGGTTTGGCTTCCAATGGCGTCTGTTACAGGAGCACTTCCATTCTGCCCTTTCAGGCCAAAATCTCTAGAGGATAAGTCATAAAAGTTTGTAGCTTTCTGATCTCAGCCAAAAATAACAATCTACACATAGTTCTATGCTCTCTACTCAGCCCGTCTTGCAGAAAAACCCAGCTCCTCCCAAACCAGGCAAATGCATCAAAGCGTGACTCTGCCTGAACAGGGGGATTACCTGCACCTTCCTGCCAGGCAGCGACAGCCCATGGAGGTTATTTTAAGGGCAGAGTATGACCACACTTCGCACTGAGTGCAGTAACAGCGTTAGCCATCGCAGAGGGAAGCAAGGGAGAGAGGTGCTTTGCAGCCTTTGTAATAAAGCGTGAAATTTAAAAGAAATTCCTGAAAATGAAAACTAGGCAGCACCAGGCTTTCCCGTAAGGGAAGCTAGGGTAAAGTATGGGTTTGATGTCAAATACGCATCCCACAGACTCCAAGGCCAACACAGCACCCTTGCCTGTGCAGCCCAGCACCGCGACTTGCCTCTGCCAGAAGGTACATTTAAGATGCTCTAGCCCCAGTATCGGAGCGGCATTTGGGAGCACCCCTCTCCTGCCCGGCCTTCCGTGGCGGGCTGAAGCAAGCTGAGCCTGGCAGCACCCTGGAACACTTCTGAGTCCGGAGATAAAGGCCATAACCAACCAGCAATTTCAGCTGTGGGAAGAGAGACCATCTCGGGGAGGGAACGTATGAGCTCTGCAAACGGTGACATGCTGCTCATCGGGAATCACAGCTGTTGCAGGAGCAGGGTTCAAGATTGGCAGAACAAGAGTGGGCAACCGAAAGACGTAGCGTGGCTTCTGGGAAGGAGCCCAGGGCCAGGGGCCACTAGATGTCACTGCCGCCTCGGCGCTGCCACCGCCGATCTCAATAGCCGTTTTCTACCTCAAACGAGCACTGCCTCCGCCTGCTGTAATGGGATTGAGTAAAGCCACCTGAGCTACAAAGGGCTCACCCGATTCTCCTCTTCCAGGCCCTGGCATCAACCAGCCGCAACCCCGTTCATCCCCATCGACTGAGCCACTGTTAGAGGGCATGGAGGGAGAATCAGACCCCAGTTTGCACGGTCTCCTAAGTTTAGTGGGAAAGGTGGCAGGGGTTTGCAGTCACACGTGTGCCGTGTATGGCTACTTCATCAGACATCCCATCGTGACTTTTGTTCTAGGGTGAGCAATAAATTTTTAAGTCAGGCTTTTAGCTTGACTTTTACAGAATTAGGTTCTCCCATCTTCCCACAAGTTTCGTCATCTCTCTCACACCTTCACAGGGGATGAAGCATCACCTCCTCCCTTCACCTTTGGAAAACTCAACCATAAGTCCAGAAGAGGAACCCCAGCACAGCCCTTAGGCCCTGGGCAGTCACCACAGCCCAACTAAACAAGCAGTTAAGAGCAACAAGCACTTTCAGGCCTGTCTTGGACAAGGATGGATGGATGTATCAGAAGGCGACACTGCATCACATCTGGTTCTGTGGGCTTCCATTCTGCCTACTGTGATCAACAAACAGGGTGCTGGGAAGATTTTTCACAGCCCTCCCAAATTCAGCTGGCTACAGGTAGCCCAAGTGGAAACTTTGTGCATGACCCTTTATTATACTCCTTGATGTGCATTTTCCACTGGGTAAAACCCAGCAGAAATACACAAGTCCCACTCAAAATTACACCACCAAGATCTCCTATTAATTACACAACTAAAGGGATTTGTTCCTAGTGTTGGAAAAGGCTCATCTAGAGTATTTTTCTCCTTCTTGTCCCTTCTCTTACTCCTTCTTCTTTGCTGTCCCCAGTTTTGAGCATGTCAAAAACTTGATTTAAGCAAAATAACATCAGTTTGCCAGAGGAGGTCCATTCGCTATCGTCTGTGTTCAGCAAAGAAGGTAGATCCTGAAAGGACGCTGAAGCAATTTGTTTTATTCAGCAGCAGCTGTGCTGCGTACAACCGCGGCCAGATTTGCAGTCTGTGTGCTCCCCCTCACCCCTCCAACTCCCACCAGCTCCAAGGGGATTTGCAGTAAAGGGGCTACAGGTACATGCGTCACCCAGGTCAGCCTAATACACCAGCCTGAGCCATGCTGATGCGCTGTGAGCCCCAGACAGGGAGCATGGATCAAACTTTTCCCCTATTTTGTGGGTAAAGGTATAAAACAGTTTGTGTTTGTGTGTATAATAACTGTGTCCTCACCGCTGGTTGCAGAGCTGACAGGCAAAGCAGTCCAAATGGTAAACATTATCTCTGGCCCTCATCACCATCTCAAAGGCAGGGATCAGTTTACTGCAGGCAGCACAATTCCCGGTGGTACCAAAGAGCCTGCCAAAGAAGCACAATCATTAGAAGCCATTTTAATTAAATGGTGGAAGGACTAATTAAGTGTAATTAGCAGTATCAAATACTGTATTGCACCAATAAATAGAAGTTGCAGTCTCCATTTTGCTGACCAACCAGTGTGCAGGATCTTGGGATAAAACTGCCTGGTGAGCAGGCTCCGATTGTCGAGATGAAACTTCATTTGGTTTGCGAGCCTAGGGCTAATTTGCTGTCTAATGGAGAAAAGCATTAAGCACTTAGAGCACTATTTTGGGGCTCACAGAATTTCAGTCAAAACCTATCTGCCTCTCTGCAGCGGTGAGGTAGGTGCTCAGAGCCACTCGACCTCCTCCGCATGTGCCTGCCCCGTCTGCGCTTGGCCGCAAGCTAACGGAGGGATAGGCTGGCAGCCTCTCGCAGCAAGATGCAGAAGATCTGCAAACTTTGCCAACCCTGGCAGGCAACGCTATAATGTAGCTCAGGAAGAACCTCACTTACCTGCTGTTTAAAATGAAAAAGCACAGTTTCTCTTGCAATGAGTACAGAAGCATTTTGCAAGGCATCTCAGAGAGCAAGCCCTCCTCCCTGGCTGTGCCCCCCTCCTCCTGCCTCCAAGTCCCTCCCGGGAGCCAGCTAAGCCCTTCCACCGCGGCGTGAACAGCATGCTCAGCCGTTCCACTTCAGCTCCCCGGTCCTCGAGGACAGCCCTTCAGCACTGGAAGCTTTGCCATTTTCATCTTGGTTTTCACTATCTGTCTCCCCAGATGTCTGCTGCTGTTACAGCTCCCGCCGGGGGACTCAACCAAGACTGCAGCATCCTTCCCCCAGCCCCCTTCCCCACGATGTCCTTGCAGAGCCCTGTGCGCATCAGGGACAGCACACCACTGCAACGGGAACGCCACACGAACCAGCTGGGGCACGAATCAACAGGCCGACAAAACCAAGTTTCACCCAAGACTGTGGTCAATACGCATGTGGTTAGTTACTTTGTTTAGGAGATGATAAAAATCGTATTCTTGGGGCGATGAGCCTCAAGACGTACGATTC